TATATATATATATATATAAAGAGGGATCCTTTTACTACCGGAGTAAGTCTACCTAGACTTACCCCGTTCAATAACTTATATTCTACATCAAATTTCAACGATCCAACCGTTCAATTTAAAGTTCTTAATGCATAGATCAAATGTTTAAATTTTTAGAAAATTTGAAAATCATTTTATACTTCGTTTCATTAATTCGAATCAATGTATAAAATGATTTGATGACTATCCTTTAATTTGAATTAATGAAATGAAGTATCAAATGATTTTCAATTAATCTATGTATTAAAAACTTTAAATTGAACGATTGGATCATTGAAATTTGATATAAAACATGAGTTATTGAATGGAGTAAGTCTAAGTAAAAGGATCCCTCCTATATATATATATTTCTTTTGTTCCTATTTTTTTTTTTAGTTTTTCTATAAGGTTATGCTAATATGAAATAACTTATTTTTAGTTTTTTTTTCATTAGCTAATAACTTAACCTTTTGTATAAATACTTTTTTTCCATCGATGTATTTCTTGAGTCTTATTTTCACTTTCTTTCATGCTAACATGGCATCAGTTCGAAATCTTTTGGCTGCATTTTTTTTTCTTTTCAACTTTCTTTCTTTCTTTGTCTTTTATATATGGATGCATATTATTCTTCTACTTCTATTCTTCAAGACACATCCAATGCTTACTACATACACCCAAATGAAAACCTAACATTGGTTCTTGTTTCTCTATGGCCTGAAGGCTTCAACTATAATTTTTTGTCACAAATTATGATGATATTGATGAAGAATTAAGAATTATGGTAGTAGTGTTTATAGTATCACTGCCACTACCATTGTTGTCACCATGTGAAGGTAATGATAGTGGTGATAGTAATACCAACGATGATGATAGTAATGACATTGGTGACGTCATTGCTAACATTATCATTATCGTTGTCACCTATGTTATCAACATTATTGTCACTATTATTATTATCAATGTCATACCACTATTATCACCATTATTCTTACCACCATTATTAAAGATTATTTATAAATATATAATAAAATAAATTTATATTTTTTAAACAATTAAACTAAATATACTTTTAGTTTTTTATATTTTGAAAAGAAACATGTTTTAAAATCTTGTAAAACTTGAAAACGAAAACTACTTTTAAAA